GGCTTTCTCTAGGTATTTGGGCCTAAGGTTGCCCTTTCTTGTGGGCCAAACAAGGTAGTCGGATTTGGGGTACCCTTACCCTTTCTCATCAATCTTTTAATTTTTAGGCTTGTATTGCTGGAATTGCAGTACTACAATTTTTATTTTTTTTTGGTCTTAACAGTTCTAGAAGTTCTGTATGGGACATATTATTTTTTTCTCTCTGCGGTCTCTTCTTAGGCTTTCTTTAGGAATTTGGGAATAAGGTGATCCCTTTCACTAGTTCTTCCTCCAATGTTTGGGTTATATGAGATTGTAGTGTAAGCAGAACCTTGCTTTACTAACCATGCACATTTTCATGTTGAGGTAAAAAGCAAGTGGCATGCTTTAATTATAATGCACTTCTGAACCTTGCTACAGGGTCTTCGGGCACTTCTCCTAGAGTTGAGAAAGCATAAGTTAGGCTGTCTATTGCCTTGGAGCAGCACTTTCTTGAGCTCCTCCTTATTCTTTGTGCTTTAGCAATAAAAATTGGATGCTTTTTTTGTTAAGTCACTTTTATGCATCCATGAAGGCTTATAATTTGTGGCATCACTACATTTTAGCTCTTAACTAGTGGACTTTAACCTGCTTTATCCGAGTATCTTTTTGGACTTTGGAATTAATTGATGAAGTATGTTGGTTCTGATTAGTTATATATGTGTTTGGTAAACCCCTCTTTCTTGTTAGAGCGTATTGTTTGAAAGCCTTCTGGTGAGTCAAATCATCTTTTTCGCATCTTCTTGAAGAGAGACGAACACAACATTCTGTTTGCCTCCCAAATAATGAAATTGGAGCTTCATGATCCATTTGGACAATCGCTTGTTTTGCAGATTGCAAAGAGCATAAAGACTGTTATGACTTCAAGATTAGGGTCAATAGCCATCACGCTCGACATGAATAGAATTGAAGACTCACAGTTAAGTATAGATGCTAATACTGTGAGGGAGTCAATTACACAAACTCCGAAAATTAAACCGAAGCAGCTGGTGTGTATTTCTTCTTGTAGCTTGGCTATCTATGAACTATTCTTGTTAACGACATCTGATGCATGTGTCCATTATACAGCAAATTAATGTTTTGGATGTTACGAAATTGGAAGTTGTTCCTCTGGTTGATAGAGGTAAACTTCATTTTGAGCTCCATTCCCTCAAGAATATGCTTCCGAACGTCATAGTGAAGGTGAGAACCTTAATGTTCGTTTAAACACCTGGATGAATGAATGATCCTAGTTCATCCTTATAGTTCTTCGTGGATGTTAAATTTTCTCTATGTTGATTTTTGGTTGACAGGGAATCAAGACAGTTGAGCGTGCCGTGGTAAACAAAGGGAAAGAAAAATATAAGGACAAGGAAGGGAAGGCGAAGGAGAGGGAGAAGTACAGTCTTGTAGTGGAAGGGTGAGTTGTTACGACATTGTCTTATAGGAAGCCAATTATGCAGATTACTTTTAGCAAAATAAATTGTGAATTTATTTGAATATGTACAACTTTTTTAAACTACACGCATAAACAGTCAATCCTCACATAAGGTAGGTATCAGATGCCATGTCAGACACATGTATTTATGTTAATTTAGGTACAACTTAGGAAGTCTAAAACTGCTCAATAATACATTTACACTCACACCGCAATACTAGTCCTATCGTCACCAAACATATCAAAGTCCATGCAGATAAGCAAGAGGTCATTGGGTATTAGTGTAGAATGGATGTCGAAATCTCATTTCCCTTGAACAGAAACTTATGCTTCTATTTGTTGTTGGAGTTTGTTGAGTTCTTGCAATAGAAAAGAAAACAAATAGAATTTTACTCTCAGAGAGAAAACTCCAATTTCTTTTCCAGTTTCCACATAAGAATACTAATGGTTAGAATATGACTGCTAGTTCACTTTTCTAAAAGCTCTCTTTCTTCATGTCATTATTATAGTTTCATATAACTTCCATAGTATTTCTCTTACTTGCAAACGTTATGCATCGAAATGGGGGAAAAGAATTGCTAAAAAAATTTCTGTATGATTGAATTCTTGCAGCACGGGTCTGCAAGAAGTCATGGGCACCAAAGGTGTTGATGGTCGGAAAACGAAAAGTAATCATGTCATTGAGGTACAGCAGACACTTGGAATTGAAGCTGCTAGAAGGTGCATTATTGAGGAGATACAGTTCATCATGTCGAATCATGGCATGAGCATAGACATACGCCATATGATGCTTTTGGCAGACCTAATGACTTTCCGGGTGAGTAAGCATAGTCAATATGGTGTCATATGCGGAGAGAATTAATTATTAACACTTTCTGGGATAAAGGCAGTGAATTCGGTGTCTCACATAAGTAGAAGTTTTTGGAAAGATATGCTCCAATAATTTATGTGGTCTAGATGGCGAAGTTTTTTAATCCAATGCATGGTGACTGTGAGGGAGAATTAACTGGTGGTTTGCTGATTAATGTGCTATTTATTTGTTCTTTGTTGGTCTAGTGTGTTCTTAGAGTCTGATGTGAATTATCAGGGTGAAGTTCTTGGCATTACAAGGTTTGGCATACAGAAAATGGACAAAAGCGTTTTGATGTTGGCTTCATTTGAGAAAACATCTGATCACCTCTTCCACGCTTCTGCAAGTGGTAAGGCCGACAAAATTGAAGGTGTCAGTGAATGCATCATCATGGGGGTACCAATGCAATTGGGCACAGGAATTCTGAAAGTGATTCAAAGGTGAGCATGCCTCTTGTGTAAGTTTTATATGGCCTCTGCAGACTTAAAGGTTGCAGTTCACATTCTTTTAATATATTCGGTGTTCGCTAGTACATGCATTAATGAATAGGAGGGAGCTTAATGTGAGTTGGTCTACATAAGTAATGTATACCATGCATATCACGAGAACACTGATGGTGATTAATGTTAGATCTCAGTTGTGTGCTTGATTGTAAGGTTACGCAATTTGGATGGCTTGCTTTACTGAGATGTAAGGTAATCATGAAGAAATTTCATATAGGTAGTATGTAGATCTCGTGAAAACTTTTGTGTAGAGAGACATGTTTCATTAAATCAATTTTCTAATTCTTGGACACTAAAATTGCTGTAGCTTGCGCAAATGGTCATGCCGTTCTAGTTAATTATCAATGGTCCCTTTTTACCTGCATCTGTGGCGACAAGTGATGCAGCTCTCTCTGGTTTTTGAGCACACATGAGACAATAAAGAATGGACTATGTGCTCGTAAATGCAGATCTGCATGCATGAGGACAAACTTTTTTGCCAGAACCACTTGTTGCAGGAAATTTTTGTGTATCTTTTAATATATTCGGTGTTCGTGATTGTAGGGATAAAAAACCAGAACTGACGTATGCATCGGATCCAATCATATCAACTTATTGACTTCAAATTTCAAAGATCATCCAGTTCAAGCTTCTGTATCCAATCACTTGCAGATGGTTGAGAATGATCGTGCATACTCGGGTTGATCAAATTTGATGGTTGGAGCATGAAGTGAAGCAAACAAATAATCACAAGGTTTTTTGTGTTCTTGCTTTAGCTGAGGATATCTTGTGTCTTTAACGGTGTTAGGAATAGGAAATAGTACGATAGAAAATGTCTGTTAACTCTGCAATGTTCCGTAATTTTGACTTTCTTCTTTTGTGACACTTGAATAAAGTATAAATGTGTATGGTCTCAATTAGGGGTGTTAATAGCTCTGTTCAGGTAGGGTGCCCTAATACCCGACCTGAACATGAAGAAAGCATGTTTTTGGTGACCCGAACCATGACCCAGATCGTATAAGACCCGAATTCGGGTCAGGTTATTGGATTAAAGAACTCGACATACACTCCTCACTCTCAAAGGCCAATATCAACCCGAATCTCTCGATCTTTTCTAAGGTTTTCAGTTTCTTCCATACGCACCTGCAATAGAATCGCAACGTGATTGAATCAAAATCTCTGTAAATGACCACTGTGTTAACTAATTTGAGTTTTTGTCAGAGTAAATATTGTTTTTTTGTTGAGATTTTGGGAGTTTTGGAGCTATGGATGCAAATTCATGGAGCGCTCGCGTCTTCCGCTTCCAAGTGGTATCAATCGGCTCTCCAGTCAAGATCTGGTTCAGTTGCTTTGTCATCCTTTTACGGTTTCAATCGGTTTTGGTTGGAAGTTGGCGAATGATTGTTCCTGACGATGTGAAAATGTTGCAACTTTGTTTTTATTTTACTGTTAGGGATTGCAAAGCAGAAAACTCTGCTATAGTTGATGTCAGTTGTTCTTTTGCTTTGTTTTTGTGTATTTTTGGCTGATGGTTCGTGTATTAGTTGACAAACAACGATCGGAACAGGAATTTTGACTTGGAATTGGACAATTTCAGCATAAACTGGAAGAAGACTTTGGAATTGGGTAGGATTTAACGTGTTCCATTAACCCGAGCCGAATGAACCAAACTGTCACAATACCCGAACCTGTATGTATTACCCGAACTGAAAGGAAGCTCGAAAAGATTCAAACTTTCGGGTAGGTACGGTTCGGGCAGGGTCGGGCCATTTTGACACCCCAAGTCTCAATGATACACACTGCTTTTCTCTTCAATCTTTTATCTTATTATCACATGGTGTTAGAGCCCATGTCAAAAACTCTAATTTATGCCTCTGCACGGTAACTTCTATTGCAGTAATCTCCACCGCCATAGAATTCGGTGTCACTTGTCAGTCAGTCTGACCACACCAACAGTCAACTTCTCTTTCACTTTATGACCTTAAAAATCACACGATGCACTGGTGGCAAGAACAGACAAATCTTAACCGAAAAAGCACGTTGGAATACATTGGCATTTTGGCTTAGAGAATTGAGATATTGAGCTTCAGATTCGGTCGAGTGTGATCTATATCGTGCAACTCGAGAAAAAATGTGCCATGTAGATATAAGAATGTTTTTATCTGGCAGCTGCCTGTTGCACAGAATTATTGTGAAGCCATGAAACGAGAAGTCGATTTATATGGTCATAACATGATGCGTCACACGATTAACTTTAGATTTAACATAATCACGAAGAATGCATAATGTACACTCACAAAAAGACTAATCTGATGTTGCGAGCAGAAGAGAAATTCAAATCCTACTGACATGGATATTGGAAATCACATCACCAAACTATAAAAGAAATTATCAACAGAGCTTGTCCAACATGTCGTGAAGCCATCTCCATCGACCAAATGTCGAGGCGAAAGAATTACCGATCTCTAGCTTCCCAAGTCCTGTTGAAGTGACCGTAGTTCTTTCTTTTTCCTTCTATTGCACATTGAAGTCGATGCACTTATCATGAACTATTTATTCCTGCTTGCTTTACACAACTGCAAAATGGATGGACATGGAGTTAGACCTCTCAGAAAACATTCTTTTGAAGGTCATCCATTTCAGGGTCTACGAGTTTGGCTGCCCCGCATAGACGAGCATCGAGCTCAGGAGGCTCCTGAAAAGCTCACACTTGTCAGCCCATTGCATAAGATCGAATTAGGAGTTAAACATGCTTTGTGATCACAATTTTTGTCGCATTACCATGCACCGGACTAAGGCCCAGTTGATGCCGCGGAAGAACGGGTGTCGTTTGATTTCCTCCGCTCCTTCGCACGAGCCCAATCTGTTCTTGGGATCCCTGTGCAGCAATCGATACATCAATTGCTTCCCATGGAGACTTACCTGCAGACAGACATAGTTCCCTTTAGTATCATACGTGTCTCCTGAGAGTTGCTAAAGGTCATAAAAAACCTCTTTATCTTCTATGCAGCAACTTTTGCGCTGCCATAATCATGCAACCATTGCTAGGGACAGAAACTACGATAAAACTCTCCCTCTTATCGGCCAAATGTGTTGCTACTTACTGGGGAAAACTTCCCTGACCCTAAGCTCAAGGGAAAGAACCAATGACGAATCCGAAATGAGACGCTGAGGCCAATATTAAATGTCTGTTTCTTAAACAGGCATATCAATCCGTGCGCTATCAATTCTGTGAAAAGCAGAACATGAGCAAGCTGCTTTCCAGCACTCCCAGTTCAAATCAGTTGGAGGTTGTTGAAAACTTGAAAAAACTTCTGACCGAGCATGAACTTCTGTTCGAGCAATTCCATAGTTCGAGTGTGTGAAGTTCTAGGAATGATTATAGGCAGAAATCTAACCGGTTTACTTCCTGGAAATTTGATTTCCTTGTGAAGGATATTGGCAAATGTCTTTTGTCTTGTCTTTCCCCTGAAGGGTGTGTATCCATACAGCATCTCATATAGCAGAATACCTGTAAGAAATGGAGACAATAAGATTTCCTTAGGCAAGTTGAAGAAACATAAGTAGGCTGAAAATGTGTGACGAAATTAGTGCCTTGTGAATGACAGAATTAAATCCCTTTAAAAAGCATCATTACATGACAAAGCAACCAAATCTACCGCAGAACTACTAGTACTAATGATAGGAAAGAATTCTCCTTCCCCATGAAACTTTGTTGCGCTGCTGATGTCAAGATATCTTTTCGATGTTATTATCTGGTCCCAAAAATGACTTCAAAGTAAGCAAAGCATAATGCATTAAGTTTAACCATATTGTAGAGCTCAAAATGAAATCCAGAATTGCAGCTAATGCCTATCAAAAGGTTTAAGTATTCTATCACTGCCCTCGCTTAGGCGCTCTGGTACATATTAGAAAGTTCAGCCCAAAAGCTTAAACCGACAGGTGGAGGGATACCACATGAATATAAAGAGCATTTAGGACCCGTTGTCAAGTGATGTGAGACAATACTTCAACATTTTCGTTACCATGAGAGAGAAAATATGTGAGGCAGCAGTTTCTCTTTCTTTTTCTCTTGTCAAATTTTCTAATGCATTAAAAGACAATGATGATGTTATTTGTCTACGAAGTTGACTGAAAGAAACTGGAGTTCTTTGACATTCGCGCAAATGCAAGCCTGGTCTTACGAATTGGAATAAAAAAATTTCTTGAAATAAATGCTTTACCATGTTCACCTTCATTAGAAGATACGAGGGGAACTTACCAAGCGCCCACCAGTCAACTGCACTTGTATGGCCAGCCCCTTTGATGATCTCCTGCAACATATCAGGAAGTTAGAATAGCAAGACAAAAGTAAACTGGTGCACTCAATCTGGAGTCATTTGGACTTTAGATAGTAGCAAGAAAAGAAGAAACTAACCGGAGCTATGTATTCCTCCGTGCCGACAAAAGAATTTGACGCCCGCATGGGTTCAGCCATAAAGATTGGCATCTCCGGGCCTTTCTTCTTATTTTTCTTCTTCTTTTCATCAGTACTAGGAATCAAAAGCTTCAAAATAGTAGAATCAACGAGTACATTATTTATACACATAATTCATATATTTGATTAATCATAGAGACAATTGCTCATATGGAAGATGATTAGGTAGTTGAATTACCTGAGGTTTGCAAGATGTCAAGCATGACAAATCAAAGTCTGTCAAAGAAATATGCCCATTGTCCTGAAGCAAAATGTTCTCCGGTTTTAGATCTCTGTAAATAATCCCTGTAAAATGACAAAGGTGTCAACAAACGGGAAGACTCCTAGCAGCGTGTCTAATTTGCTATCCGTCCACTCGTTAGCCCACAAATGATCCTTGAAAACACAAAACTGTTCCAATTTCATCATCGACTGCATCGAACTTTGCCATCAAGATTCTAAATGTAGCAACAGGTGCATCTGGCAGATAATGAATTCTTGGTTGATGTAAAGTGATGGACCTTTACCTTGGCAATGAAGATACTCCAATGCCACAACCACCTCTGCAGCATAGAATCTGCAATCATCAACTATATGCAATGAGTTCAAAGGAATAGAACACGACAGAAGTACTCATATTGTCAAGTTGGCTCTTGACATTTTGGCCTGCAACTTCTACAGGTGGAGGTGGAATTGCCCAGAGTAATATCGATTTTACTCTATGTTTTTGCATCTTTTGAGTCGTGAAGAAAGCCTCTTGCAAAAATTTTTTAGGTAAGGCTGCTACATTAGACCCAAAGGGGTCCGACCTTTCCCTGGACCCCGCATACAGCAGGGAGCTTCATGCACCGGGCTGCCCTTTTTTCCTTTGGATAGTACATTATAATCAAAATACGTTTGTGGAATTAAACGTATGAATGTGCATATTTTATATTGTGATTTTCAGCATAGGAAGTCCACAATATGTTGCAGTTGAAATGACTAAATTTTCAACTTCGGACGTCAAGGGGAACTTTGTTGGTAGCACGAACCTCAGAAATCAGGTTGTAACCTCTTTGAATAAACATTAGATCCTAAGCAAAGGGAAAGGCTTTGACATAAGCATTTAAGTAATCTACATTAAGATTGTTTCATTAACTTTTACCTCACTGCATCTTCCCTGAGGACCTTCAGGGTTTGCCTGTCCAAGAGCATGAAGAGCTCACCACCGGGGTAATAATCTGTTATTAGGAATATGTGGGTTTTGGTCTGCAGAAAACTTAATATTAGTACTCATGTTGGATGGATACCGCGAGCATTAGAATCCTAAGCGATTTGGATTAGATCCATGGGGAGGTAAATAATTGACACTCACAAATGGAACATAACTTGAATAATATAACGAGCAATCACTATAAGGGCATGCGAGAGCACGACTTGAGATCATTGAAGGCAAAGTGAAAAGTGCCTAACTAATATGTTATGAGTCACCCATATCCGGCAATTGACATAACTTTCTCTTTTTTTTTATCTTTATGCTATAACAAGCACCGCGCACACAGTTCAATCTGCATTATCTCCATGTTCTGCAATTACCAGTATAATTATCTATTATAAATGCCTTTTACCTGAAAAGAAGCATGTAGAGCTGGAAGACAAGGATGATAACAATCCATTATACATGATTTACCTGAAAAGACGCATATAGAGCTGGAAGGAAAGGGTGATCCAACATGTCAAGGATTTCTCTTTCAGCACAAGCTCTGTGGACCTTCGCAAAATGAAGAAAGCTATTCATCTTAAGGAATACAAGATGCATGCAATCCATTACAGACTCATGAAACAGATCAATAAGAAATCCATTGAAGGAAAGCACATTATCAGCCAATTCCTGAACAGCATCCAACCATCATACACACTAGATCATCCTCCTATAACGTAAACCCCGAACTAGGAATGACCCCCATTTTAAACGTAGAAGAAGATTTTGGCATTACTAAAGGTAACTTCTCTATCTTACAAAAAATACAACACGCTAGTGCTACATCCACGTCAGTAATCGGGTTTTCCAATGATCAGTCTTATTTTAAGGATTGTGAGAATGTCGCATATATAAATTCAAGAGGAACTTGAATCCTGATCGAAGTTGACCAATTTCAGTACCTTGTTGCGGTTGAGCATGACACTCTTATCCATGGCCTTCATTGCAAAGAATTGACCGGTTCCACGCAGCTCAACTAGATGCACACTGCCATCATGGTCAAGCATTCATCAAATTCTCACACACGGAAAATTCCCCTTTCGGATGCAGAAAGAAATAAGTAGAAAAAAAATTAACGTCTTCCGAAATGCCAGCAAGACTCAAAAACTTCAACTGCACCTTTGCCCTACATTGCAGCAACCTTTACAAGATTTCTCATTTCTAGCTAAAATTTCCAAAGCAACTGAAACATGATTAAAGTCGGCTAGATTAATGTACTTCCAGACTTCTAGTATTGGCGCACGAGCTTTACCAGCAATAAATAGAGCAAAGCATGCAATCAGTAAGTCTGAGCATTGCGCTTGGCAGTACAAACTGTATATTACAAGTGGTTTCTATCCCACACTAGCTAGTAACTCCAAGGAAGTCATCATCAATTTATTAAGCATGACTGCGTTTCTGCAGCTTATATGCTTAAAAAATATGCAGTAAAATTTGTGACCAACATTAAGAGGAAAAGGAATTGGTCCAACGAAGTTCAATAAAACCGCATGTAAGTGAGACTGACAAAGTTTCTGATTTCCTAGCTAAATCTCTGAAATTTTGGAAGGACAGTCGAGTGTCAAAGTTGTGAAAAATCAAAAGATATGGCTTTTGGGTTTGCTTGAACCAGATGGGATTTAACTCCAGCTGAGATGATATGACATGCACCGGATGTACCTGCCGGTGTCCCCAGAGCCAAGGGGTTTAAGTGGCTTAAAATTCTTTAGTCCTATCTGCTCTCCGCTATCCAGTGTCTGCATGTCAGGAGCACCATTCACCGAATAAATAACTTAAGCACAGATAACGGCAAGAAAATCATGAAATAAAGCTTATATAAGACCAAAGTAGTAAACGGACATGGTGCCAATGTCACAGAGAGATTAATTAATCAATTATTCTACTTTAACAATTACAGAACGTGAATTATTTACTCACAATAAGTGGAAACATGTAGGAACCATATATGGTAAAGGGCACTAGATGTTTAAAAGCATCCACTACATCCATTCTTCCCTATATTTACAGGTCATGCACCATACTTATCATAAGAATGACATTGCATTTGCCAGAGGTTTACTTATTAACTAATATTAGTATGAAACAAGTATAAGAAATAAAGTACCTGTTGAATGGCTCTCCAATAGGGGCTGCCCTTCCTGTGTGGCTTTGGGAAAACCATTTTAGAGTGATTAGCCCATAAATCCTCTGGTTTCTGCTCACAGAAAAGTCCTTAATCTCAATTATAACCTTAAGAGACTTCTGATGCTTTAATCAAAAAAAGGATGCTACCTTGTTGGCATCCGGAAGTTCTCTCACAGCTTCATCAACATTTTCAGCAGTGCTTTTCACCTATAATTCATCGGCAAGGGAAATGGCAGAAATTATTGGAGATTATCAAGATTCTTTACCCTACTACAAAATCTTGCAGTGCTAGTAGCAACTAATATATGGAAATTCTATCATTTTATGGGGCAACAACTGAAAGAACTAAACAAAAAAAACAATCATCTTTCAGAAATGTGAATCAATTAAAAGTGATCTCGAACCACTGGGTTAAGTTTGAAAAGTATGATATTCCCTAACTTGAAGAAATAACAAAGTATGACGATAACTGAATGATAAGGGAGAAGGCAAAGAGAACCCAGACCAGTGTTTCACTTTCTTTAGCAGTATCCTCAGGAATAGAGTTGTGCAGTGGGTCAACATGAGCGCTACCATCCAGTTGTACTCCAATGAAATACTGGACTTCTCCCTGTTTTCTCACATAAACAGTTCCTAAGTTCTTTGAACAGTATTATCGCATTATGTTATCTATCTAAATTTAACTGCAGAGTGCACCTTCTGATCACGCATTGGCTGAAGATGAAACAAATTCCAGAACTTTTTGCCTGAAATTCAGCAGAAAAACTTTACAATACTTACAAGAATGTGTAAAGTAGATCAGCTTCATATTGAGGCTAAAGCTGCTATGCACAAGCAACAGGCATATTTACGGCATTTACGAAAGAGGAACTTTCATTATTTTCTCCCTGAAATTGTCATTTATGTCATTCTTCACGAAGCTCATAATTTTGAAGACATCCTGGAATAGGAATTCCACTTCACAGTATTTCTATTCAGGTCATTTATAGGTACATACCGCTTTTTGTGTAGTTTATCAACTGCACAGTGACTTCTCTTTGGTTGTCAATGGCTTCCCGGATCTTCCTCACGGTTGCTGGATCAGTTTCAGGTCCTTGGAGGAACCTATACCAATTCAAGCAAGGTATCTCATAACTAATTCTTTTGCATTTCAACAATAGTTCAGTTTCTTTATTATTTTTTTCCGAATGAAGCTTCAGATTTCTTATGGCACAAGCTCAGGGCCTTTTAATCATCAATAACTCTATCGGATAGGAGGATGCAATATGAGAGCGTGAAGCTGCACATTTCCTATTTATAATCATGTCTTAAACATATCTAAGTGCCAATTTGCCAGTCCTGTCTCTAGACAAGTTAGATGACTAAAAGTTCAAAAGTTCGACATTTATGTCACAATTTTTAGGAACTGTAATTGCCAACGCTTCAACGACTTTAAGATTTTTTAGACGATGTTTCAATGAGATTACTGAATTAATTAGAAAGCAGTTACCTGCAATTTCTCCCGAGAATCTCTTCCCGGCTGTATTCTGTCAGCTCCAAGAAGCTATCAGAAGCGAATATCTGAAAAATTCAGACCAAATGAAATTTTAAATCGCGTATATCCACTAACAAGTTCAACGAATGAACGAGCTCCTCTTTAGTTTGTCGAACAGTCTTACAATGGGATTGTCTGGTAGCCTTGGATCAGTGATGACGAAGTTCTTCTCGATACGTTCGAGCGTGGTAGCAAGATCGATACCCTTCCTCATTTCCTTCTGTCTTACAACATCATCCACGCTGTCTGGCCTCTCATCATCTTCACTCATGTCGTCGTCGTCGTCATTGTCATCTGCAGCTCCTCTAAAATTGAAGCTTTCGGAACTGGACTGACGCTTCCTAACCATTCTGCCACCAGGATGGGAAGACAAATTCAGTGAGGCAATAGCATCTTAGCTAGATACAAGTTGCTGAAAATATCACTAATTCCAATACATTCTTAACAGTGAGAGACATAAGGCGATACCCCATGAACGAGCGGCGAGCGGATTTCTGTTGCTTCTTCTCGGGCACCTCATTGATCCGCTGCATCGAACTCCTCATACCTCCCAGATTCTCAGAGTTTCGTCTTCCTACAGCATCTGATCTCTCTTTCTCGCCACCGCCTCCCGACCTTCGCATTAGAGGGCGATTGATCGACTCGCTGAGCGCCCTCGGCCTCTTCACCGCCTGCACAAGTTCCGATACTGAACTCGCCGCCATTTCCTTCTGACGGGCTGTGAAAACAACAACACATCGGGATCGTCATTTGCATCCAGCATTAAAAGAAGAAACAAAGAACACTAATGTAAGAGTATCTGCTAACACCTACATCATGAGCTTCACATAATTGCAAAACGATCGCATTGACCAAGTGTACTATGATCAAAAGACATCCAAATTGGAGTGGGCAACAAGTGTGATCACGAGTCATTTCGCATGAACCTATGAAGGTCCGCCGTTTTTACTACTCTAGAATGGAGTGAGGAGAATGGAAACTCGAATTCATGAGACATTACTACGAAACTCGGAACGTTGTGTTCATTCCTCCTAACAACTGCAAATAGTTTAGCATTCAGTGGACTGTGATTGACTTTTCACTCACACATACACTCTCTCTCTCTCTCTCTCTCTCTCTCTCTCTCTCTCTCTCTCTCTCTCTCTCTCTCTCTCTCTCTCTCATTGAATTTTCAACACAAGTTCGACCATTTAACCACAAAGAAACAGCTCGATAAAAGATGATGCTTCCATCAAAAGCAGAGGCTCTAAATATCAATGTCTAGTTCACTCTAAACTCACATGAAGCGCATTCTGTCTGCGCCCAATGTTAAGTACCGAAGCATTAAAATTACAGAAATGACGACCACAAACTTGTCGTGTTATCTTGAAAAACAAACAAAACAGAAGCCTTAAAAACCATGCATAAATAGTAACGTGGGTATCAAGCAATTAATTCATCCCCTCGGCTTCATCCCATCGCCACCTCCGAAAGCCGATGTTTCCGACAAAAGGGCCGTACTAACAAGTGTCTTCGTATCGAACAGTATTCCATTTTTCAAGATACCCGACGTTCCTCATACTTTATATTGTCGGTCCACCGATAATTCGAATCCTTCACTATTAATAAAAGCGGTGTCTTTAGCACGCTCGTTGACATAGCAAGGACGCCTGTCACGGTACCAAGCGCGCCCTTTATATGCACGTAACATGGGCTAATCATGCATGTACTGGCAAATCTTGCCTCTTTAGGTAAACTTGGTCGATGGCAACAACATTTGGATTCACGCTCAAAGTAGAACGTGATGGGGGTACGTACGTCTCTTAGGATCAAACTCGTCACGTGCTACTCCGGGAAGGAAAATAAACATGAATATAATGAAACAGAATAAAACAAACAGATCAAAGAATCATGAGAAAAGTGAGTGGAAAAAGAGGGCCGGACCATCGTATCGAATCAAGGACTCGGGCAATCCATTGGGGCGCATCATCTTAACCTTGGATCCCTCCGTGTGCTTGCTCACCTCCACTTGCATCCTGCACACCCACCACCATCACAGCAAAAAAAAACACGAATATTATCCATAATTCAACCCCTAAATCATCATTCTATTCTTTATAATAAAAAAAAAAGAAAGAGAAGGGGCCAAAAAAAAAAATTTAAATTAGAAACTAAATCTCATGTATATATCCTTTTTTTCGTGAGCTATTCTAAAAATTTGAGCCGTCAATGAAGCTGTTCAAATCTTATAATTTTAATTTTTTATTTATGTAAAAGATTCTAATTATATTGAGGAGCACGAGATTAATTATTTTAAAATGTGTATCCCATTTTTTTTATAATATGTAAATTCAGTATAGAGATTCTATGTGTAGACAAGCACTACCCGAAGTCCCACTAATAGTGGCATGAAATGAATCTTCGTCGCGACTCAAAAGCATGGGAGTCCCCACGCTTTCAAAGCGTCCTCATGAATTGAATCTCTCTCTCTCTCTCTCTCTCTAGTGGCTGAAAGAGAGGGTGAGAGATGTGATCTGAATCCAAGTTCCGGAAGAATCGGTCGAAAGATTCGACGTGTCGTGTGCGTGGATCATCATAATTCATTCAGTAAGAGAAATGATTATAAGTGACTGTCGTCGCCGGGTAACACGGGCGCGAGAGAATCGGAGTAGTGTGTTTCGTGAGGGACATGACAGACCCACCCGATGAATTTGAGGACGTTGCCGGCGTCGTCCTTGATGGGGGAGATGGTGAGCAGGTTCCAGAACGGCGTGCCGTCCTTCTTGTAGTTCAGCAGCCGCCCGCAGTAGCTCGTCCCGGCCTGCAACGCCTCCCGGATCTTCGCCACGTCCTCCGGGTCCGTCTCCGCCCCCTGCATGAACCGGCTGAATCCGGTCCCGGTGGCACGAATCATCAACCGCTCATCGTCTCATGAACTAATGTCAATTACGATAATATGCACATAGCACGCATTCATAGAGAGAGAGAGAGAGAGAGAGAGAGAGAGAGAAAGGGGTACCAGTTCCGGCCGATGACCTCCTTGGAAGTGTACCCGGTCATCTTGAAGAACCCGGCGCTCGCGTACAGGATCGGGTAATCGGGCTTCGTCGCGTCCGACACCACGAACGTCTGCTGGAACGTGGACAGCGCGTCCTTGAGGTCCTCCGACACCCTCGGGAACCCTCTCTCCTTCCCTCCATCGCCGCCCTCCGACAAGTCCCCCGAGCTCCGGACCGAGTTGTTCGAGTTCCTCCTCGAAGTGCCGGGCTTCCCGTTCGGGTCGTCCCCGCCCGAGGTCCGGACCGTCACGCCCTGCGGCTTCCCGGTCTCGGTGTCCGTCCTCAGCACTAGCCCCCACTCCGCCGCCCTCTGCGCAGCTGCTCCCGCTTCGTCGGGCGGTTGCGCCAACACGGCGGACTGTGATAGTCCGCCGTCGTCATGCTGATGGACGGTCGAGATGGGCTTCTGTGCGAAGGGCGGTGATTGGTTGGGCGGAGGGGCGTCCTGGAGGGCCATCCATGAGGTGGCCGTGATCTCGTCGCCTCTGCTGGTGGGCCAGGAGGAGGGGAGTTCGGGCGGGTCGTGTTCCGAGCTCTCTTGCCGGCCAACCCAGCCTCGCCAGGGGGGCTGCTGCGGGCCAAAGGCCCGGTTGGTCGGCCGGGTCGAAAGGGTCGACGGGTTGAAGACTTCGAGTGACCCGCGCGGGTCTCTGGGCAGAGGAGGTATTTGGGACGGCGGTTTAGTGGATTTGTGATCCGCCGCTTCCATTTCTCTGCACGACATATAATTACCAAAAACAGAACTTTGAGATTATCTAACGTTGCTCTCCTAAAATAAGAAACAACTTTTTGTTACTAAATCTAGCACTACATGTTTCAATGATTGTCTCACATGTTGCTATCCCGGCATCGCTACTTTCGTCGAAAACACATAACGCAAATTTCATCGATAAATAATCAACAAGGTTGCGTGGTTGAAAATAGAGGGCAAAACAAGATGATTGCAGCAGTTTCCACGCTTATACAGCTCACTCATCGCAGCTAGATGAACATGGAAGATGACTTTCGGGGTTAAAAAGAAGGAAGGCGACATGCGAGACTGCGTGAACCGGAGATATTTACAAGCACTTGTACACATTTATGATCATGTACATAAGCAATTGGCGGATTCGTAATGCAATGTCGTTTTCAGATGGTGAAAGGAGCTTGAATGTGAATTGGGGGACCACTGGTCACGAAATGGAGGGCTCGCGGGTTGGCTCGAAAATGATGTTTTTCAGGACTGGAATCGGATCGGATCGGATTAGGCCGATATTGGGCATCGGGATTGGATAGAACAGAGGGAATGCAAATAGCGACCGGGGACTTCCCCGTCATTATTTCGACTCCGACCGGCCAATGAAAAGCCATGGCGGGCGGCTCCCGCTCGTGGCGACGAGAGTGACTCGACGCACCTCACATCCAACGGGGCATTTCCGTCCCATGCAAAAGATCGCGATAGGGAAAAAGGGATCATGTCATTTGACAGTGCAGACAACGAAAGCACCAATGTGTGGGTGGTTTGCTAGTTAAAGCTCCATCTCCATCAACGTCCTATCTGCCTCTCTGTCTCTCTATGTCTCTCTCTCTCTCTCTCTCTCTCTCTCTCTCTCTCTCTAGAAAAGCATGGATAGCTGAAGGGACCTGACCTTACCGAACCCTGGAAACTTACCGTTGCAGATCTATCTATGCAGAACTTACTTTCTTGGTTTTTTATTTACACTGGTATGGATGATAACATCTGAAACAGTATGACGACTGCTTGCTCGTTCGAAATCTGCTCTCTCCCTCGTGCCGAGACGTGCGATGAAAAGGAGTGTCTGTGCTCACAGAATCAGGAACAATGATCTGAACTTGCTAAGAGGGTCGGACGTGTACCGCGAGAATTGCGCGAATTATTTACCTCGACTGGCGGGAGCAGAACTTCCAGTGGACTTTTGGGACTTTGAGGCTCTGACTTGTGAGTCGAACCGAGCATGCAGGTGGTGATGATGGTGATGATGCTGACGAGCAGGATCCGCTACTTCATCCACGGCTAAAGAAAGTTGCAGCACGAAACTCTGCGAGGAGGAGGAGGAAGAAGAAGCAGCAAAGCATGTCAAGCAACGAGTGGGAAAAAGTCGGACCAGAAACGACTTTTTAAAGCGCAAGGAGAGAGAGAAGGAGGAGAGAGGGGTTGGCCTCCCATGCCTGTACAGCTACAAACTCACATGGCGCATCACGTCTTTGCTGTGGCACTCGCCAGTCGCCACCAATCATGTACCCGAAAGCAACACTTCCCCAGAACCAGAACCATAATAAAGAATCCAAAAAGTATCTGATAAAAGAGAGAGCTTCTTTCTTCACTGACCTACACGTCTCTCTCTCTTCCACTTCAGGCAAAAGTTGAGGACTCCCAAAAACGGGGCGGTGCGTTTCGATGTCTGTCGAAGCACTTGCCGTGTCGTCGTGTCTCTCGCTGGTCGCTAGCGTACGTATAAAAATGGAGTTTTGAGCTTGAGGATAAAACTGATATAATCGGACAAACACAGAGACAGAGAGAGAGGGGGAGAGATCTGCCATTTTTATGATTTGATGGGGGGGGGAAAATCGGAAGGGGTGAGATTGTGGGGGGTCGGAAATGAAAATGGAGAAGATTGGCATGTTGTGGCATCTGGTGATGGTGGTCACGGAAAAGCATGACCCTGACTTTTTTGCGAGGAACAATACAGGCTCGAAAGTGGCAATACGAGAGAGTGGTGCTACTTTGGATTTTCGAGATGATTTTATTTGGGGGATAAAACTCTATATATTCTTCAATGATTGACACGGCCCGTCGTTACGCGATCATCGTGATGAAATCGAACACAGGATGTTCGTATTTGTAACCCATCAATTAGAAGTATGGCTGGATGTAGGAGATTCGATTATGGCAAGGACCAAGATACATGGCTCGGCCAAGCTCTATTTCCTAGGCTCTCGGGATTTGCCTCGAACAAGTAGTTGACAAACTCGAGCTCAATTCGATTATCAAGATGTAAATATAGACTTGAGATAGAGGTAAGCTCAAAATCACTCGAGCTCCATTCTAAATAGTAAACAATGTACGGATCAACGTAAAAAGTTTTACTTCTCTTGAGTCGAGTATCTTGATACTCCAACTCGACTCTATACATTTGCTCGAGCTACTTGAATTTCCCTCTCGACAACAAGTGAAGTCGAAGAGCGGAGCTTAGACATCTCGAAACTAGCACGACCCTTTCGCGCGCGCCTTCACCCGTTCCAAGCTAAATCCTATAGAAATATGAGCTTTCGCGAGATTTGCAAAAAAATAATTAAAATATTAGAATTAGAAGTCGCTCCTTATGTAAATGGTCATGTTGCTCTTTCTTCGAACAAAGATCAAAGGACGATGAAAGAGTTTTCACTTTTGCGTTGGAGTGAATTAAGAAAGAATGGGATAAGTACATTCAAAATCTTAAAATTTGTTACGAAAGTGCAATTGAGTCCTAAAACTTTCATGATGTACAATTAAGCCCTACAACTTGTTAGGAAAGTGCAATTGAATCCTAAAACTTTCAAAAAGTGCAAACGAGTCCTAAAACTTGTCACGAAAGTGCAAACAAGTCTTAAAACTTGTCAAATTTGTTCAATCAAGTCCTTCCATTGATTGCACTTTTTGAAAGTTTTAGGACTTGATTGCACTTTCGTGATAAGTTTTAGGACTTGATTGCACCTTCGTGATAAGTTTTAGGGCTTGATCGCACTTTTTGAAAGTTTTAGGACTTGATTGCACTTTCATGACAAGTTTTAGGACTTGATCGCATTTTTTGAAAATTTTAGGATTCAATTGCACTTTTCTGACAAGTTTTAAGACTTCTAGTGCATTTATCCCAGAAAGAATTATCTTCCTACATGCCATCTTAGAACTATAGTCCTTTACAATCTCCCCCTAAAATAACACGAGGGTAAATTGAGGGTGTCGATCTACCTTACGATAACATCATTTAAAAATGGAAATGTGGGGTTGAAATGCGAATCTTCAAGAAATACTTTGCAAACTTTTTAACCATTTTGAGCCATTAAGTTAGGACCTGGGGACGAATCGTCGCTCTCAGACCGACCTAGTTAAGACATCCATCGAAGTCTATCCTTCCCTAGTCAGACACGGTGCCATACTCGAACTCCCCAAACCGAATCGATAAATTGGAGATTCCAACAACATGATAAAAATGAGAGAAGAAATCGAAAATAAACGTATCGCCGTGATATCCTTTCGTATCGCAAAAGAGAGTCGAGTTGCCATGAACAGGTGCTATATAACAAGTATGGTACATAGTTAAATTCTATAATTAGAAAATCATTATATTCACGAATGGGATAAGTGCACTTAAAATCTTAAAATTTATCACGAAAGTGCAATCAAGTTCTGAAACTTTCATAAGATGCGATCAAGTCCTAAAACTTGTCAAACCGGTTCAATCGAGCCCTTCCATCGATTACACTTCTTGAAAATTTTTATGATCCGATTGCACTTTCGTGATAAATTTTAAGACTTTTGGTACCTTATCCATTCACAAATCGTGCCGGAGGGAATTTCCGTGTGCGCTAAAAGTCCAACCCTAAATGTGGTACCTCGTTTTTCACCTCGGAGGGCTCGGAGAAGACGGTGATGGATTGATAGGGGTTTGTGTGTGTGGGGGGGCAGTAGGGCCCCCACGTGCGGGTGGGGTCCCACGGGCCATGTGACCCGGCCCATATCGATGGTCGTGGGAGGTCACATCATGCCAACCCTTTTTTCCTTACCCTAGTCCCTACCGCAGTAGATAGACCGTGCTTCTGGGCCCCACCTCCCCCCGCTCTTGCCGGCCTTTGCGCCCCGACGTATGTTTTCGTTGTGCCTTTTTTTTTTCCGAGAGGCGACGATGCGATGAGCAAAGCGCGGACGCATCGTTTGGGGTAACCGGCGATCGCAACTTTGATCGTCCGGCGCGGTTGATCGGGACGTGAGGAGGGGGGAATTCCGTTAGCTTTGGAATCGGAGATCGCCCGTAACAGCTCCACCCATCGTGCGCGCAATGCGAGCTGCTCTGAGTCGAGATAGCATGCGCAAGTCACGGATCTGGACTCGACCGTTCCACGAGACCTCTACGACATTTCTAGGCTTTCGGATCGACGGACATCTTTTCTTGTGTCGTGAGATTTAAAAGCAAAAAAAAAAAATGGTTAATGCCACAAAAAACTTCAAACCGGTGCACCGATCATATTTACCTTAAACTAATTTTTGTATTATAAAAACTCTCAGATTGATAAATCCGCGTCACATTTATTCCAAATTGGTACACTCGTGCCACCATTTACCCTAAACTGATTTTTCTTTCATGAAAAATCCCAAACTAATACATCCGTGCCACGATTACCCTAAACCGGTACACTTATACCACATTTACCCAAAAAATCTCAGATTTAGGCCCAATTCCCTAAAAAATCCTCAACTTTAGCCTTTGTCCCAATTATATCCCAAACTTTTTTTTGTCTCATAAAAAATCCCAAACTTTCACTTTTGTCCCAAATCTACCCAATTAACTTTTCGTCCAATTTTTTAATATTATTTTTATTTTTTCGAATTTTTTTTATTTTTTCTTTTCTTTTCTTTTTCCTTTCCTTTTCTCTTTTAGGCCGACCTCGCCAGATCTGGCGAGGGCTCGGCCACGCCAGCCGCTGGCGAGGCTGACCTCGCCAATAGCCGGCGGGCCGAGCCTCGCCGTGGCTGGTGAGCCGAGCCCTAAGGTGAAACAAAAAAAAAAGAAAAGGAAAGGAAAAAGAAAAGAAAAGAAAAAATAAAAAAATTCGAAAAAACAAAAAATAATATTAAAAAGTTGGACGAAAAGTTAATGGGGGTAGATTTGGGACAAAAGTGAAAGTTTGGGATTTTTTATGAGACAAAAAAAAGTTTGGAATATAATTGGGACAAAGGCTAAAGTTGAGGGTTTTTTAGGGAATTGGGCCCTCAGATTTATCGTAATTTGGGATTAATGTGGCACAGGTGCATCATTAAGCCTCTATGATAGGGAGTCCCACATCGATTGGGAGAAGCCAAGCCCCTCTATCTAAAAGCTTCTAGCAGCTGCCCTCACCTCACAAGAGCTTTTTTGGGGATGAGAACCTTTGTGAGGTATTGATGTACCAGTTTGTGAATTTGGGGTAAATATGACACATGTATATCAGTTTAGAGATTTTTATGATACAAAAATTAATATGGGGTAAATGTGGCATAAATATACCAGTTTGGAGTATGTTGGTATTAACCCAAACAAAAAAAAAATTTCTAGCATAACCAGCTTTTTTCTTTAGAATAATGACAAGGATAGTCCTTGAACTTTAGCGATGTGCAATATAATTCTTGAACTTTTACTTTTTCAATGTAGTCCCTGGACTTTTGGTACATGTTCAATGTAATCATTGAAATATATGAAAATGTTCAATGTAGTCCTTCCATTAATTCAAGTTTAGAGACTACATTTCACATAATTCAAGGACTAAATTGAACATGTACCAAAAGTTTATAAATCACATTGAACAAAGTAAAAGTTCATGGACCACATTGAATATTAAGGTAAAGTTCAGGGACTACGTTAAAAAAATTAAAAGTTCATAAATCATATTATATATTAGTCCAAAGTTCACGACTGTCTTTGTCATTTTCCCTTTTTCTTTACTTCTGTTTCGGACAGAATCAGCTCATAATAAGTCGTGATTTTCAGGACAGATCACGACAGGGGTCACGCTATAGAAAACCATTTTATTTACCTGCCGACAGAGTGAATCTTAATTATTGGTAAGTACAAGAAACGAAGAACAACCTGACGGTTCACGAGCGGTATCATGTCAGAAGGTTGGACCGAAGGTGGTGGGCCTTGTATGATTCAAAAAGCCCAACGTATATCCCTAATGTAATTTCCCATAGATTCATGGTTACCCACTATTGACTTTTCATTAGATTTAGATTCCATGAGTGACAGAGACAATGTTGTAGTTTTGTAAGGTCCTGATACCAGAGAGTGATTGCACTAAACAGGAAAAAATCGAAGTCGGGATTGTCGAGAACACACCGGCCGAGTCGTTCAATCAGGGGCCGACTTGCTTTTCATTCAGCCTATCAATTGGGAGACACCAAAAGGAACGAATGGCCATGGCTGTGATGCTCCGGAGACAGGCAGTCCCAGGGTCACGCCCCGACAGTTTTGACGTAGCTACATGTCCACCCTTGTTAACCTTTCGCGAGTTTTGAGTCGGCTTTGACATGGCCCAGTTGTTCAAATAGGACACAGCTCACTTTGCCCTCTTAGGAAACAAGCATGTTGCATGTGAAGTGACCCAGTTGGAGCTCTACTGTTCCGACTCTCAATGCATTTCTCGCGTCATGAGGTTCTCATTTGGCTTGTAGGCGAGCAATCAACTTTGAGCGTTGAGCAAAAATTTCTTACTACTGAGTATAATATAGCTCGACGACTCGTCATCTGCCTCGGTAAAGAGAAGATCCTGAGATCCGCATAGGGATGGCTCGCATTGCATTGTGTAAACTCGATAAGGGCAATTAGTAAACTACCAAATGGTGAAATATTGATCTCCAGGTGTCTGGATTAAAAAATTTCAGCACGAGGTGTCTCAGATCATGGCAAAACAATGTAAGGAAAGAATAGCGCAGAGGCTTTTTTTTCCACTAAATGGAAGGGTACAGACAGCTAGTTTCTTCACAGAGGCATCTTTACTTACATACAAAACTCAGCTCGCATGTACACGGGGGATGAAGTGGGGTTCGGAAGGTAAAGAGTTACCTGTATTGAAGTCGAGGATGAAGCATCAAACCTAACATGTGTGCCACATGAAGACCGACAAGTCGGCATTTTCTTATATGAACAACGCCAAAAGTCATGCGGTCTTCCTAGTTTTGGTATCCATAAGATGAAAAGACCGAATCGTCATCGGCACTTAATCTGTCCTCCCTTCTCGTTCTAGAAGAAGATCCGCCGGCTGCCTTCCCCGAGCTTTGAGCAGGCTGGGTACTCGGTTCGTACTTCTGAGAGGCAAGGTAATTCAGCGCAATGACCACATCACCTATGACCGGCCTCATGGAGGGTTCCTCTTGAACGCACATCGCAGCAATGGCTAGCGCTTGGTACAAGCCTCTTCCAGGATACCGGCCTTCAAGTGTTGGGTCAGCCATCTGGGAGAATTTTTTCCTATCCCGGAAAAGGGGGCGTGCCTGGCCAATATTTCATCACACTCGTTAGTCAAGTTAAACTGCTAATACACACGCTATCGTCTTTCATATCATTTAGATGTATTTCAAAGTTTCAACGTATATTAGATTGTGTTTTTCATCAGCTTCACGAAAGAGAGTTTCCAGCAGGATGAGATGAATGTATTCAAGGCAAGTCCACAGGTAAGGAAGACGAAAATATTCTCAGGTGGCTAAGGAGTCCATCAGACAGAATTCTGTTGGAAAATCAACACACAAATGCATTTACAACCACCATAACCTCATCCTCAAGAAATGAGCTTGAAAATATCAATCGAGAGCTTGAAGCATGAACATGAATATATTTTAGGTTTAGAATCTCTTCTTCCTATACAACATTTTTCTTCAGATACAAGCTATTTTGTACCGGTCAAACATGTAGTAAATTGTACATTACCTATATATTTTCATCACACGACGATTCAGCAAACAAGCATGCAGCATACCCAAAAAGCAAAAGATGTGCAGGGTTTATCAAAATGATCCACCTATGAGCAATCAACAATTACAGATAAAACTCTCAGAGGCCAACATCTGATGAATGTCTTTCTAGTTAAATTTCCTCTTAAACCAGATTATATGGAAAATAAAATCACAAAGGACTAAGCCATAGAGGCAACACTCTAGAAATTATTCAGGACATGTCAGAGAGGTGACGACTCTCATCAATATTTTTGCTCTGTAAGCTCATTCTTACTTTCAATATAAAACAAAAAAAAAAAAAGCTCATTCTTACTTGGCATTCATGCTTGTGAAAACTTCAAAGTTTCTCCGTCTAAGGGCAAGGAGTATGTACCTTAGAAGGTCTCCTAACTTCCAAAAAACCAGAAGATGCACATCCAAAGGTATAGTGTATTTAATCTTCATTACTTGGAGTCCAACAAAGAAGATTCGGTGGTCTATTAGGTAACCCAGCTCAAGAAGTTATGAAAGAGATCAAGCATATGATGACAATTTTCACCATCCTATCAGATTGGCCAAGGTAAAATAGATTTCCAGGCATTGCTGCATAATCTGCTTTTTCACTAAGCTGCACATCTGTCTTGACTATTGAACTTAAGATCAAGCAAAATAAAACGGGACAAGGTTTCATGCAAACTAGATCACATAGGGTATCTCAGGGAAAAAAAAAACAGAGAGAGAAGCATATAACAATTTAAGGATAATAAGTACAATTAAGGAAATATTGCAAATCAAATAAAATATTTTTGTCTGTCAGGCAAATCAGTTATGACTTATCAGCAGAGAAAAAGAAAGGTAGTTGTATCTTACCCAAGCGACAAGGTACTGGTCCTTGGACTCTTTCAGTTGATCAAACGCTTTTCTTCCTGTTATCAGCTCCAGAAGAACAACTCCAAAGCTGTAGATATCTGATTTGAATGTTAACTGGCCTGTCATTGCGTAATCTGGTGCACAGTAACCATAGGTACCCATAACCCTGGTTGACACGTGGGTCCTATCCCCACTTGGACCCACCTTGGCTAAGCCAAAATCAGATAGCTTAGGGTGATATCCATCGCCGAGTAAAATATTTGAGCATTTCAAATCACGGTATATAATAGGAGGCTTCAATTTGTCGTGCAAATACTCGAGACCTTTTGCTGCTCCAGCTGCTATTTTCATTCGTGAATTCCAGTCAAGTCCTTTTCTAGTTGACGGAAGGTCTGATCAGGCATAAAAGGAGATTATTCAAAACACTAATTGGACAGAGTGAAGAACTTGTGCGCAACAAAAATCAATGCACGCTATGAACTAAAGTCAAAGGATCATAACGATGATAGCATTACAACAGAATAAGCAGGCTGAAGGAGAGTTATTTACCATGCAGATGGGTTTCTAGTGATCCTAACGGCATATATTCGTACACCAACAGTTTCTGATCTCTCTCTGCACAAAAGCCAATTAATTTCACAAGATTAGGGTGATCAACCAGACTTAGCATCGTTACTTCGACAATAAACTCCTTTGTTCCTTGAAGTCCATTACGATCAAGTTGCTTGATTGCTACTGCCTGCACCAAATCCAAGACAAAATTAATGTCTTGCCACCTACTAACCAAAGAAAACCAAGAGTTCACAACATGCCCTAACACACACCTTTTATCTGCACCAAAACATCAAGCTTAATAAACATGAAGTATAACATAGCAGCAATACATTCCTCCTCAGTCTCAACATAGGCTATCTTTTACGATAAAGTTCAGTACCAGAACTTTTAAAGACTCGATAAATAGCACGGACTTAATGAAGCAATAAGAAGCCAGAACATGGGGTATAAGGCTTACATTGACTCAACCAACCTGGTCAGTTCCCTCTATATGCCCCTTATACACTTTGCCAAAGCCACCTTCACCCACAAAACAATCCGATCTGAAATTGCCCGTGGCAGCCGCAAGTTGATCGAACGTGAACGTCTGAGCCCGCACATCTATATTCAGTTGGTCATCGTCTCTCGCAACCTCGTGTCTCTCTACCTCGGATTCTTCCGCATTTCCGCAAGCATCGACCTTCGCAGTCTCTATCAAGTAGCAAAAGGCAAAACACAAAAATCAAGCCTTGAAATCTGTTTCCTCGTGAACACAACTTAAGGCACCGCTACAGATGGAATAAGCAACAAAAGTTTCAGAGGAATTCAAAGAACCACGCTATTATAGTATAACAAGACTTCACCCTCAAACTTTCTTTCTTTTCTTGCTTTTTTTTTTCTTTTTTTGGCAAGTTCAAGCTTTGATCTTCCAAACATGCAAGATTACGGTAACGAAATCTACCCAGGAGAAAACTTTGACCGAATCGGAAGGAAAATTCAAGAAATCCACCAACAGCAGCCCCACGAAATCAAGAACGGATTTTTAAACCCAACACCCTCAGTTTCAGCTCGCAAGAGCGCCACGAAAGTCCCGAGTTCTTTCAACAACCGGTAAAGTCTCCCGGCTTCGACACGAAACGCGACAGGGCATAGCCAAGGCTTTTCAAAGAAGTTTTACCCGGAGCAGCTCGATCTTCCGCTTCCTTCGCAAAGCAATGATGATGGTTGTCGCTGTCGCTGCTGCCGTTGTTCTTGTTGCTGCTGGTGGCGGCGGCGGTGGTGGTGGTGCTGCTGCTGCTGCGGCGCCTGCGCACGGCCTCTGGGTCCTTCACTGATTTCCCACTGCATCTGAAGCACCCCATACCAAGCTCTCTCTCTCTCTCTCTGCGTCGCGATCTTTGCAATCAAGAGGGAGTTGGAGCAGCCCCCAAAAGGCAAAGAGGAGAAGAGAGAGAGAGAGAACAAGAAACGCCAGAGAGAGAGAGAGAGAGAGAGAGAGAGAGGAAGAGAAGGGGAGCAAATGTGGCAAGAGAAGTTTGAGATTTTTGGGATGGTTTTTCATTTTTTTTGGGGGGGTGGTTTTTGTTTCTCGTGTGTGAATTGTTTATGGAAATTTTCCTCGTGTCAATTAAATCTAGCCGCGTAATACGTATGAATTTTCACATTCCCTTATGCAAAGAAAAAAGTTACTTTGTGGAATCATTCTAGGACCTGCTAGTTTGTACTTTTGACAAAGCAATAAAATACATATAAATTTATAAAAAATATCGCAAAAAATAAACCGTGGATTTATATGTCATTTTGTATTCTACGCAATTCTAAGGAGTTTATGGTTAAGAAAGAGTCAAAATGGACTTTAAATTAAGTAACTAGTAAAATTTTATGGACGGTTCTTTTCTCTTTTGTTTTTTTTTTTGCATGTCGTATGAATTTTTATTTGTCTATAACAATGAACATTATAATCTTTTTCTTAGAACCTTTACATATAGACGCTAAATCTATGTTTCGCATAAACTTCGGCTCGATTATCATGATGAAATTAGACAAGTGGTAATGATGCAACTTTAATTGAACTTCGAAAATGATATGTGAAATTTGGTGATTGGTGGGCATGCCATAAGCGATGAAACATGATTAAAGCAATTCCAATGATCATCCAACTATGACATGATCTCAAAAAGGTTGAATGCACTCTAAAACCTTCATCTCATGTTAATTGCGCGTAACGAGATTGTATGTTACTTCTTAATTTTTTATGCTCGTCCGGTATTCTTCATCTTTTGTACGTCACACTACCAACGAAATAGCAATAATAGAGCATGATGTCATAATAACTTTTAATATTTATTAATGACAAAAATAGACGAGGCGTGCACAAATCAAAATTCGAGATAGATGGTTTTTCGATTTCTAAAGCATACTTACTATAACTTAAAGAGATGACCTGATGTTCACCGACCAGTCAAAATCCAATTAATGTCGGATCCATTTATTTTCTCCCCAAATTTCCATTTTCTCCAAAAAAAACAAGCCGGGCTACTCCTGGTCCACATGTCAAGCACGTGCTTTCCATTCAATCGATCAAATATCGAATTGGGAAATATAGATACTTGTATTATTAAACATAAAAATAAATTCTTTAATTTCAAATCTTCTCTCTCTTCTTTTTTTTTATTTGCTTTTTTTTTTTAATAGGCAGGGTGTTTTGTCCGGTCATAATTGATCAACCACAAATGGTGACGTGGACGGCATTAATTGCCCAATTATAAATTACTGCGAGCTCCGGTTGGTCCTTTGTCTTTTATGATGTCTCCCCCAACCATCTTGCATTGACCCCATCCCCTGATGACCGATCCACCACCGTGTGATCTGATTAAAAATATCTAATTCTCAAAGTCAACCTTTTCGAAGTTTGCCAAAGCGCGGGACCCGCGCCCGAATTCATTCACATTTAAAACGCACCCCCCCCCCCCTCCCCAAAAAAAATAAAAATCATAAAAAAATGTTTTTCTCCCTTTTTTTTCTTATAGAAGCCAATGATTTCCGATCCGACCCGATATCTGGAGTCTGGTGCACAAAGAATGATCCGATAGCTCGGGTTGTTTGGAAAATCAAACGGACCCGAAACGACCCTTACTCGAGAAAACCATATCTTTTGATTAATTTGAAACCGACCCAATCCGGGCTCCGGATGAATCGGATTCAATATCGGTTCGAATCAAATCCAAAAGTGGAGCACTCCCCTTGAATGTGTTGATATTGGATCTTGACGCGAGTGATTAAATGCGAAATCGGAGAAAATCACACTTGCAATCCGCATCAAACGTAATAAAACCCGAGATATGACATGAGAAGCTGAGTATCCATTGACCTGAGCATGGATGGACCCACTAAGGTAGCACAAAACCATATCTCATGTACAAATTGATTTGAAATATGACAGGAATCGATTCAAATTTAACCATTACAGTGTCAATCTCAAGCTCAGTTAGTCTCACGTGATTAGGACCCAAGACTTAACTCGAGCTTGACTGATCTGCTTGAGCTCATCTCAAATAGAAAATCGGATACTAGAACACAACTTGATTTCAATCCATCGTAAAGAAATCCGAAACTTCACCTCAGGCTCAAATATCATAGACAAAATCCATTTCTCGAAGACTTTTATGAATATTCTGATAACGGTAAGAATTTTTGTTAGGCCATAGATCGGTCGAGTTAATAATTGGCGAGCTCGAGTTCGGCAATCGTCGAATCGAGTCGAATCGAATCTGAAATGTTCACGAGTAACTCGACCGAATTTTATCTTTAGTTTGAAAGGGGCGATTCGCCACATCCAGTTTTTCTTCTCATTTTTTTTTTAAACTTTAATTCACACCGCTGTCAGCCACGGAAGTACGCGGTTTCCTGTGCTGCCAGCCGGGCCAAAAATTACCGTCCACATATTTTGACCTTTGAACGGGTCAACAGTCAACTTTATTTTACACCACCGCCACCGCCACAAGAGACGAAAGGGTCATTTGCTTTGCCAACGACAAAATCCACCGTCGTAGATTCTTGTAAATATGTTAATAAGGAGAATATCTTAAGATTTCAAATCACTTTAGGGATTCATTTTAGTCAAAAAGAAAGACGAGAGAGAGAGAGAGAAAGAGTCGATTCTAAGGCTCTAAGAGAGGTTCACGATGTAACAAATAGGTTTGTACTTTTGCGAACGACTCTTACGAGTAATGTGCATCCATGCTCTAGCCCAGTAGAATGAGCAAGCGCAATGATTCAACTCTTAAGTTAGGAAGACATACAAAGTAAGCGCAACGATTCAACTCCTAAATTAGAAAGACCTTCAAGGCTATTGATGAAATAACTGATTTGTCATACATATAGATTGACATTTGATTTGAACCTTTCCACATGCTCCCTCTCAAGCACTCCGATAACTTTCCTTTATATCACTAAAATTCAAATTCTTGCATTTGATACTTGTAATAATCTACTTCGTCACGTTTCAAGTATTCTCCAACTTATTTGTTGATAAAAATGACGTGTCTAATTGCGTGATAATTTATCTCTTTGATTGACGTGTGGTGATGGGAAAGAGGGAGGGGGGGAGAGAGAGAGGGAGATGTGAGCTTAACTATCTAGGACGTATGGATATGTCATAATAAAATCTCGCGCATCAAGCTTATAAGTCACCGCTCCCGTGAAAGTCATCCATATATTAAGTGTAAGCATACCCTAAATTTAGTTAGAGCATGATAATAACGAGCTTATAATGGCAACACACCCAAAACTTCCATTTTGAAAGAACTTTCAATATTGAACCATCAAATTACCAATGGAGCAAAATTCAAACTCGAAAACGACCTCGACAGATCCCTCGTAAGCCATGCCAATTGGTGCACAATTAGTGGCCCGTCCGTCACCAAGGGCGACCATGGCCGGTGCCCAAATCCCTTATCACGACTCGACAGGTGCTTTGATCGCTTTCGCACTGCCTTTTGTTTATGAACCATGAACTTCGCGACACATGGAAACCAACAAGAGCTCTTGGCAGCGCACGCGCACGTGTCGCGAACCCAGTCGCTCGTTGGAGATAATCATCGGGGAACCGAAAAGGGTCCAAGCCGTTTTTTCAGTTTTCCAAACAACTTTATACGTCTGGGAGCTTCCGTGGACAGGTCAGAAAGCTCCATTAGTGTTTTTAGAGATATCGACGTCTTGTTCTCGTACAAAGACAAAAAATTTTAGGTGGGTTTACGTTGGAGTGATGTAATCAGTGCAATAATCGTGTAGAGCTAATTAGATCTTGAGGGAGAGATCTTTCCTTTGACACCGAGTGATTAGTTGAACTGGAAAGAGAAAGGACGTCAGAGTTATGATATTGAACTTAGGGGGGTTTGTTCGTTAAAATGATTGATCGACAGAAAATCACTTATGATTACAGAAAATATGTACGCTTAAAATTAAGAAAATGAATTTTCTAACTTGAAAAGAAACCGAAAAAGAATCTCTCAAAAAGCAAATATATTTATCGCGAAATAAACAAACCCTTAAATTGGGGCAAAGTGAATTTGTAGCCCTCAAAGCTTGTGGATATGCAAGTTCTATATTTTCAAAGCTGTCCCTACGTGGTGACATCGACGCTCTCTTTTGTGCTGTACCTTTCTCGGCTGTGAACACCTCCCCTCCTTTATGTTTGTTTCAGGAAAATTGGTCAAAAAGACATGACAAGTTTGTCTTTGTTCATCAAAGCCTCTGCAAAAAGGCGTGGCTGATATGCTTACTCGTGTTGGCTTGGGATAATTAAGGCTCTGGAAAAATGGGGACGTATAGCCGAGATTGTTTCTCAACAATCAAAGCCCTTTGAACTGTGTTGTCGACATAGACTGGTTGCGACAGCACTTTGTCCACCCCTACGTGCCTGACCGAGCACGTCGTGCCCAGGTTTTTCTTCTTTCTCAGGCTGCCAAAGCGAACAAGTTTTTGACAAATGACGCAACCGGATAGAATCTAACTCAGCATCTTTAATTGCAGGAAAGGGCTATAACGTGGTGAAACATTCTAATTGGTGCTGTCAACTGTTGAAAGAGCTCTACATGGCCCATGACTTGGACAAGGAACCAACTAAAAGAAGAACATATTATTATTACCATTTCTATGACACATCGCCCGGGTATATTTAACATTCACTTAACGGTAATTGCAGTTTCACAGATTGACATGTGATTATTCCGGCATAGGTAAACCGACAAAGATGACTTGATGACCACACATGGCGTGGGTCGTGGCCATCGCGTTTTCAATCAACTTCTATCAGACTTATCTACGACCGGATCTGTCACGTGTCAATCTTCACTAGATGAAGAACCAAAAGGAAAACATTAGCAATGCGAAATTATTTTGAATCCACAAGTCTTATCTGTTCGTAATCTCCTTTCCCAGATACAAGAAATGTATGAAGTTCAGTTGCTTCTTTGAGTTTTCATAACAAACCTTGATTTCCAAAACAAGACTAAAACATCTTTTGGTAAAAGACAAGGCCAGTGTAAAGGTTCATATTCATACATGCCTTCGCACTCTGAACAACAATGATCGACCATCCACATGCATTCCTCCTTCTGTCATAGAACACTGTCGCAAGAATTGTCCTTCGAGATCGAGTCGTTGCTCTGGCAGTCATCGCCCGCTTTGCTGTCAGACCTGCAGCACCAGCAATAAGAGATTACTATTTCAGCTTCTTGCTAAAACATGACATTTAGAGCAAAGAGATCATTTCTTGTCATTGCGATTTCATACGTTATCTGCCGAACAAACTGTCCTCGCACCCGAGGTCGCTGCTCTGCTAGCTTTTTTCTGCTTTCATAACGAACCTGGAGAACAAAACACAAGGAGACACTGATAAGAACAGAGAGCATCCATGAGGTTCATGAAGTCATCATTCTCCCAGTGATAGCTTCTATGAATGCCATGTGAGCTACCAGCAGTCTACAACAAAGCTAAATACAAAGCTCACATGCAAGCACCAACAGTAGAGGATTATAGTCAACTTCACAAAATAAGCAAGATGGTTCTCAGGTCTGAAGATATTTGTATATCAAGCACGGTGGATTCTGAAACTTACATATAACCAAGTAAAAATTCTACTTTCTATCCTTGTACTTTCATGCATTTTCTTATCAAGTGAAATTACCTTTTAATTTGTCTAATCAAGTCATTCTATTTTCACAAACTTTGTAATCAAATCCATTTGACACTAAATTCTCCCAAATCTAGCTGCATTGGCCATTGGATGATGTCATAGTGTGATGTGGACAAAATTTTTCCAATGGGAGCGTCCACTAGGGCATCCACATTTGCTAAGTTATATTCACATCATGTTATGACGTTGTCTCCATTGCCTAAATTATTCAACGCACATCCACATTGGCATCCAGATACTCTATCCGCAGCATACCTTGGAGTTGCCCTACAGCCTCGTCAGCTGAATTTGACTGGATTTGGTGTCCAAAGGAGTTGATTAGAAATTCGCTAAAGTAAAAGGACCGATTACACAAATTAAAAGTATAAAATCTCGATTAGAAAAAAAATGTGACAGTACATAGACGAAAGAGTAATTTTTCCTACAAACAAACATTTTTTCTCCATAAAAGCAGAAGCAAGTTAAGCGCTACAAAGTCATTAGATTCAAAGCATTATCATTGGTTCACTAAAGGATTATACAGCAGCTTAGGTCTATGATCAAAATTATGTTGCTTCACAGCAAAGAACTAGAAAGAGTGCTCATTACCCTCTTCTCAAAGCATCTTTCCTTCCTCTTCTGTCGAAATTTGGACAAGGCTGCCTCCCTCAGTGCAATTCGCTCTTCATCTGGTCCACCACCATTAACATTCTCAGTAACACCACCATCTCCAGTATGTCCAGCAACTCCATCATCCTTTACCTTATCACTCTCTCCACCATTTGGCACACTTTTACTTCCAGTATTCCCGTTGCTCCCAGAGACGCTCCCACTTACACTGTAGTTCCCAGTATTACCTTCTAAATGATCTTGGAATGCATTTGATGATCCACATTGTGGAGCTGCTCCTGCCATGTTCTTGAGTGAAAGATCCTTGTGGTCAGGTTGTTGTTGTTGCTGCTGCTGCTGCTGCAAGCTGTCGAGATGATGATGATAGTGGTGGTGGTGGTGGTGATGGTGGTACCGGATATGAATGTGCTGACGTGGACTGGTTGACGGTGGTTGGATTGTGTTAGAACAAGCATCATTTGCCCTTCCAGACAGCTCTTGCCAAGATGAAGACACAAAACCATGCTGTACTGGTTGAAAGGCGGAAGACTCCGAAGATTTGAAAGTTGATACTACTACTTCTGGCTTTATAGGAGTTTTACTACTCAAAACAAATTCATTGTTGCTGCTACTCGTGTTAGACTGACGATATGGAGGAGTACCAAGTGAACGAGAAGGAAAATCGCTCTCCATTCTTACTGCAACTGAACAATTATCAAATGCAGAACAGCTTCCAGTAGTCCCTGCCCGACCCTGCTCCACAGTGGACGTGATCATCACCAAGACAACAGTCACTATAAGTAAACTTGAACAGAGAGACGCTGTTAACATCTTAGCTAAAAGTAGCACTGGTGTGGAGGCTTGTTTAGTCTAGTCTGCTGCACACCAGTTTCTTCGTGCCAATAATATGCAGGCACGTATGTAGATTCCAGTACAGCAATCACATGGTACATCAACTTAGAAGCTAGACAAGTTACCTGATTCGCCGAAGAGGTTGCATTGAACCTGCAAAAAAAAAAACATCGCAACAAGAAGTTTATCCTGATCTGCAAAACAGCTTAGATGAGTTGAATCCAGAAGTTTCCTTCTTACTTGGAGAATGCTGATAGGCCAGAATGCCTCAAAACTTTGTGATCACCAAGGGCACTTTTTCCAGAATCGCCCACTCCTTCCAGCCTTTTAAGTGTTAGTTCAAGTGATGGAAGTTCTTTAGAATCACAGTCAGCTTTTGCTTTTGCATGTGAGATTCTGGAAATACCATCTCTAGTGTCAAAAACTGTACTTTCAGTCTGTGCATCTGGGCAATTGGCTGTTCCACATGTCAAATTGGCTTCTTTATTTCTAGATTTGCCACCTAAGTCAAGGTCGAGCCCCAATTGTCCTTTATCAAATGGTTTAGGTTCTATAATGGAGGATGCATTCTTGGATCTATCATGCTGATATTTATGCTTAGAATCTTGACATCTCTCATGTTGATATCCAGGTTTAGAATCTTGACATCTCTCATGCTGATATCCATGTTTAGAATCTTGACATCTAGAGGCTCTTTTTCCATCCTTGCCCATTCCAGCAGTGCCTACAAGATTGAAATGTATAGATAAGAACATGACCAAACAGATGTCAAGGAGTTTTTTTACTTCAAGTCGCTAATGTTCATTAGTACCTGGTTCTTCTTCGTCCATTTTGAGTGTTTCTGCCCCAGTATGAACCACCTGAGCGCAAGTGCTATCAGGAGCATCTGCCCATTCATTCGAAAGTGATACTGGTTTAGGGCTGTCAACTTCGGCCGTCTTATTTGTCCATGAACTCTGAGAAGATGGAGCATTAATAAGCTGAAATAGTAATAACACACTTAGATCTACCATAATCCGAGTCTTTTGACCTGATGCTTATACTGTTTACAGATATTCAGCCTTTTCTTTGCTATCAACAGAAAAAGAAAAAATTAAAGGCATCTCTTTAGTCTGCAAGGTGCAGTGATTATTAAGAATTTGGTCTTCCCATGCTAAAGCGAACAGCAATCTTAATGAATCAAAAGGTCATCCACCATGCCGTTGCTCAAAGGGACTAGTAACAAATCTTAGCCACTATCCCTTAGTTGTCGAACTACACATCTCTGGTGTACTACTAGTTGAGCAAAAAACATTCTCGTGATAGGTCCTGAATCTGGTCGGAATGCGTCCGTTTACACTTTAGCAAAAGCAAAAAGTACTACTTTTTAGCTTTCCCGCCATATCAAATGTCAAAAGATTATGAAAAATTATACTCCGATCTATGTTGACATTAATCTGTCGCGAAAGTTTCAGGTGTTTTGGAGTAAGAAAATCAAAGCGCATACGATGCAAGATCTAAATGAAAGAAAAAGTAAAAGTCAATCCATACATGCCTGTAAGATCACCTTTTTAGTCCTTCCCCTAAAATACTACATCCTCCCGAGTAAAAGCAGCATAAAAGTTTTTCCAGTTGGTCAGTGCATCCAAATGAGCATGGCGCTATTGATTATATAGAACGTTTTTCGATGCACAAGCCAACAAAGAGGTAGCACAGACTATTGCATTAGCTCTCTACTTATTTTTAGACTAAAGAAGAGGGCTTTCATTGCACCAAATATCAATAATATTAAAAGGACTAAGATTGTGGTATGTGGGCCCACGTATATGGAGAAAACCTAAGATCACTCATGATGACCTACATTGGGTTCCATCATTTGGACTTTAAAGAAAAAAGAACAACAAACTTAGATGCAGCCCGCTATTTTTGTGATTGTATATCGTTTTGCACTGAAGCGTCACAATGATTTCTCATTTCTGATAGCTTGCACCCGTTGAAACCAAACCCTTCGACAGTAGTTTCTGCAAAGAAGTTTTTAAGCTCACTAAAAGAAGGCAATCACACATTTAAGGAGAGAGTATGGGCAATATGGAGGCATGCTTGGATGAGTGTACAAAATTTACAACCCCAAGAGATTGCTTGGTAGTAAAGGAATGGCATGCGTGTGTACATTAAGCACACGACACAGTTCCCATTTCCCTCACCTGCAATTGCGAACAATCTAATGTTTGACCTATCCACCCGTGCCTTACTCCCATCTTACCTGGTTATTCGTTTATTCAAATGCAACATTCATTTCAAGCAAACTCAACCAAAGATATTCTGAAGTCTAAAGAAGTCCTGAGATAGGAGAAATTAAGATATTAAAAGATTCTTCTCTTTACTAAATTCCAAAATTGATTATTGTGGATTGGAGAGGCTATGAAAGCCTCGTTTAGGATACTAACCATCTAACCAGAGAACTTTATGAGTTGCTTGAGCCTGTTTTCTATATTCTACTTGCAGGAAAAATCCCTTCCATGACATAGCTATGCCTAGGTTAGTAGGATGCATCCTCAGCACAGAAAGGAGGGAACAGAAAGATACCTAACTGGATTAAGAATGGATCAACAGTGGTCCCCCCGCTCACTGCACTACACATGTCTAAGTACAATGCAGCCTTGAATTTCTGTCTTTCCTTTTTTTTCTTTTTGTCATGCATTTCTCTTATGGTTTAGTAACAACAGATCTCTCTCTCTCTCTCTCTCTCTCTCTCTCTCTCTCTCTCTCTCTCACACACACACACACACACACACACACACACACACAAAACAAGACAAATATGCAACCAACCTGAAGACTGAATGCTCCTCCCAAAGGTAATCCTCATTCTAGCTCTTAAATAATCAGAATATTGTATTTTTTTAACAAATCATGAAAAAATTTCCAAGCATCTATAGTGTTGCTATCATTATACCAAGTGGCTACAAGTCCATTTGGATTGACATTTACTTTCAACTTTTTTGCTTAGTTTAATTCTTGCGACTCACATAGTTTAACTTTCTTTTTTAAATCCGAAACACTTGGAACTTTCACAGAGTGCAAATATTGATGAGTAGATTCACGTATAAATTTTCACAGTTTTGGAATTTGAATAGTATTTTAGACATTGGTGGAAAAGCAAATTAAGTTGAAAGAAACAGAAGCATACACCAAAAGTAAAAAAATGGACCCTTCTTATTTTTGAATAAGTCATTGTACTTTGTTATGCAACTGCACCATGTTTTGAGTCAATAATGAATCTAACTCAAGAACTTTTTACTGTTTTGAACGGATACTCTATGGAAGTTTTGACTCTATTTTTCTCAATTAATGACAGGAATACTGCTTTCCCCATGTTAATTTTAGCAATACTTAAATTCTATATGAGTTTCTTTTATGAGAGAGACATTGAGTAAATTTATCCCCCCCCCCCCCCCCCAACCTCCTCCTTCCCACAATTATCATGGTACAACTGCCTCAATCTTAAAGCACTGCAGTCCAAATACTACAATCACTATAATTAAATAGAGACAGTTCGATAATGTTTTTTTTTCAAATGTAAATATATGAGGATGTTATCTCTCATCATCCATTGTAGACATGGGACCTGGTGTAGCCATTGGATAATAGGCAGATGCAAAAATCCAGTGGACATCAAGTCCCGATCCTACTTGTTCGCGGTGCAACTAATTTCTGTGCCCAAATCTGCCCATTGGCATCCAAATCCTAGACCTTCTCCCAGTATGTCATATGCTCATCAAGGACACATAAGAAATAAACAGCGACTATTGATTACATACTTAGACCTTAAAGAGAAGCTCTCTAAGTCTAATTTCAACTGGAGTAAACGATGCAACGAATAATTTGAGCTACTTGACTCAGCAAGGGTTCAACTCCATTCAATTATGATCAGCTCCTTCCTCATTGAAAAGCATTAGGAAAGAAAGGCGTTCTATATGCCTTGAGGCACCATTAGCCACAAGAGATTGATGCCTCTATGAAACAAGAAACCCCAAAATCAGTGCCTTATTGCTAGATATACATACCACGCACGAGGAACAGATGTGAGAACTTCTTATCATGTCAGGCTTTTTCCGGTCCACATGCAAATTTACCTGAGTGCCACTTCCATCATCACTTCCATTCCGCACGCTCAAACCGTTACTTCCATTATCCTGCTCTTCACTGCTACCATTATTGGTCTCAGAGTCATCATTGCTTCTCAATTCCTTGAACGTTCTGGTGTTTGTCCCACTCTCACTTCCACTGCTGCTAGACTGAGAAAAGATAATACTTAACACAATGACAAACAGGAAATTGCAACAATAATATTTCATTCAATATAGCCAACTGAACCAGGATAAACATTAAAATATCAGATAGACAAATCCATCATACCGAAAATGTCAAACAACAGAAATACTACTAGGGAAATTCATGTGCAGACCAAGGTCCATGGACCGGGGTACAGCCGTTCCATTTAATGGGACCCACATGCAACAGTTGTCATTGACCCAGTCCAAGCGGACCAAGGTCCATGCAAGATTTTGCCATCCTACTGAGAGGAGAGAAGACGTGCCCTTCCTAAGAAGAGCTCCTTCTGCTTCTAGTCCCTATTGGCACTACTTTAACCTATGGTAATAGTCCTTATTGGCACTACTTTAACCTATGGTAATAGTCCTTATTGGCACTATTTTCACCTATGCTAAACTGGCAAACAAGTTCAGAAGTTAAAATAGAGCGACTATCGCAAAAGATGAACTGTAACTCACACTGTGGCATCTCCTCCACACATGCTGCCATAGGTTCTTAAGTTCATTCTTTCGGATAGGTTTCACCAAAAAGTCAACTGCACCCTTTGACAGACATTTAAATACTATGCCCATAGAATCATGAGAAGACATCACTGCAAGAGTAGCTCATTAGGTGCAATATTCAAAAGCATTAAAACAGCAATCATAGTCGTGGAAAGCTTTACCATATCAAACTGCCCATTTATAGTGAAGTAATTCTTACTTATTACTGGAATATTCTTCAAAGTCTTGTGGCCCATAATCTTGCTAAGAAGACCTATTCCCGATAGCAAAGGCATGACTACTTCTGTCAAGACAAGGTCAATCTGATCTGTTGGATCTTCTAGGGTCTTCCACGCCTGAATACCATTTGCAACAGCAGTAACTGCCAAGACAAATTGAATATAAAAGGTCTGAAGGAAAAGGTATGAGTACACTGAGGGTTCATTTGGTAAAAAAATGCCAAGGCTGTTCCAACAAAAAGTCTGATTTCGGTCAGGATAATCAATCGTAGTATAAATTGAATATCCCATAAAATGAGACACTTTAGAGCATTAGCAATAAACATGAATCCCCAATCAGAGGTTTTTCAACCCCCACTTACTATCACAGACCATTGGGAAAGATAAACAGGCTAACTCAATCCCACCAAACATTCCCTCGACAAACATGAACCTAATACACCATATACCAGATTTAAAACCTTAAAACTTTACAGCTTAAGTGCATTGGGACTAAAAGAATCGCGAAAGGAATGACAGTAAGAGATTCTTTCACACAACAAGAAAGTCCTTTAAACAAGAAATATGGAATCGCGTGCGTGTCTACTGTCTATCCTATCCTAAAAGCTCTAGAGGGAAAGTGGAATATCCTTAAAAAAGTGCATAAATGAGATCTTGCGTTCAAACGATTAACAAGATAAACAAAGAAAACATTTTAAGATCACGTGTCAAACCCATATTTTCAGTTCAGTACACATGCACGTAATCAATTAATAACATGAAGATGCAATTCACTATAAAAATGTCACAGAATAACAGTGAAATTACTGCCACTAGCTTGAATGTTCATGTGAATGTCAAACCAGTGCTAACCTTCATATCCACAATTCCGTAACAGTGCATTAACAACTTGCCGTGTTGAATCATCGTTTTCGACAAGAAGAACCTTAACTGTCTTGATGGGGAGGAACCTCTCCCATAGTACCATAGGCCCATGAGGCTGTTGTGGCCCTTGCGGCTGTTGTGGCTCTATTCGAAAACCATCATGTGCCTGAATATCCAAACTAGGATAACCGTTACGATATTCCACTACATCATTAGACCTGGAATTGTCTTCCTCGGATGAATTCCGACATTGCTCCTCATACAGAATTCCATTGGTTCCTCCATTCTGCTCATGGTGATGAATGCTGTGTTCAACGGACGCCCTATCATTGCCACCGTCATTGTCCACTGGTAGAGCCCCCATCAACCGGACTCAAAATCAACAGCAACTAGAAATGCCTGATAGCTCGATTGACCATATAACTCATGCATGACGTCCGTTAGAAGTTACTGTCTGCAAGACAAACCTAGTGATGGAGTTCCAAATCCAACAACTACTTGTAAAAAATGAGGCAAATAGAAAAGAACAAAAGAAATCTTTATTTAACCCAGCCGGTTTTTCACTCATCAGTGGTTATTATATGCTAAAGACAAAAAAAAAGCCTGATCCAAAAGCCAACTGCATCCAGTGACGATGTTGGGAGTTATAGAAAGTGCACGTAAAACAATGAAGCAACTCATTTAGGTTGAATTCGTCTGAGAAGTAAAAGCAATAACTGGACCCATAATTGAAAAAATTTGGAGATGACGACAAGCAGAAACTTTCTCATCATACAATAAGGGGAAACAAAAACTTCAAAGCAACCCTCAAAATCTGACAGCCAGGAACAATCCATGTGTGTGATAAAACATCTCACAAGCAACAGTGGCAGAAGATAATCGTAATATTCACTTTTCATATTCATAGATGGAAACTCTAGTCATCAAATGATAGCAGCAAACCTGCTGCAAGCTGTCAATACTGATCAATATAATCACCAAGGAGAAGTCATCCCAGACAAGTACACAATAATGGATCAGGTATGCTTGTCATCCACATCACTTATTTCGACCAACTACCACATTGATGACTTGCTCGCCCTTCCGTGCCCCATAATGGAGATTTCGGGACTGATACATATCAATATACCCTTAATGATGAGGAAGGACAGTAACATCCACACTTCCAGTTAATAATTGAACTTAATGACAGACACCTCGAGCCCGGAGGCTCTGGCATACTCTGTAATATACTCTGCAGGGCCGATGAAATACGCCGTTGACCACGGAAATCTCCTCTTACCAACTTCAAAACAAAAACCACCTCACAGCATCCAAGCCGCCTGTGCACATAAGGCGCACAAGCACATCGGACTAAGGTACGGAACCAAACAAGAACGAGCCTCTGTAGCTAAGAAAGAACAGAGCAGCTCGAAACAAAAAAAAAAACCTAACCACGATCCCAATCCTCCCAACTCCACGTCCGCGCGACCGCGGCACCAAAACGAAACTAATCTGCTCTACCAGATCGCTAAGGCCTCGGTCTTTTCCAAAACGAACAAAGGCTAGGACCTAAAATCCAAAACCGAAGACAGAGGCATCCGAAAAACCTCGAAAGAGCTCGAAACATCATCGAACCGGAAGCTACTGCGACGCTGCGTAATCAGAAAGATTTCGAAAGCCAAGCAAAGCTTACCTCCTCCGATTCCCTAGTGAACCACCACCTCCATTCCCGAGGCCCGATGCAGCAGCGGAAGAGGACCTAGATCAGCACCCCCCATGGAAGAAACGGATACGGCAATCCACAATCCGAAGCTCGGAGCACGAATTCCAGAGGCGAGACGAGCTGCGAATCATTCGCTCCGCGCGAGCTGCTTCATCGTGCGAGCGAGAAGGAACTTCAGCGAGGGAGAGAGTGAGTTTGACTGACGGTGGAGATTGCGAACGAGCTCTTCTTCTGGTTCCAGAAAGAGAAGCGACAGGGTAGAGAGAGAGGCAGAGAGTAGAGAGAGAGGGGGCGGGGAGGGAGCTAGATTTTTTTGGGGGAGGCGCTCTGACGTGTCGCAAGTGGAGGTCCGCAGCGGCTCCGTGGTCCACGTGTGATTATGGGCCCGTCCTACGTGGGCGGGGCGGAGTCGACGTGGACAGTATCAAAAGCTCGAAGACCGCGCGCGCTCCGTGGATCCCGCGAGGTCGTCGAGATCGCGGCTCGCCACGTGGCGCGCTGCGGTTCGGGGACTGCTACTGGATCGCCTACGCGTGGGACGTCGTCGTTTGGTGATGGCTCTTCAGATGACAACTTGAAAATACGTGCTCAAAATAAAAAATATATATGGTTTAAGCCCACCAACGGGCACGAAATTAAGAAAAGATCATTTCTTGAGAATTGGTATTTTTTATTAATAAATATATTTAAGTTCGTGTCAATGTCGTGAAAATATAACATTTTGTGAAATTTATGAAACACCAAAATAAAAGATACAAATCGATTTTAAAAATATCGCAATTGACATGATATCAAATAGTTGCCATGCTATCACTATAGCAAAATTTTCTTAACCCATCATAATTCTTTAGAAATTTGACCAGAAGTTCTCGCTTGCCTCACAAAATACATTTTTTAGGCATAATATAGGCATGAGATTATAGAAAAAAACTCAAGATATCATCCGAACAAACGATAAAATTCAATTTCCCTCCTATCTAATGGTAATGTATTTCTATTAGCTTATTACTCATACACTGACCGACTCAATATATGTCTTTCGACACCGACACAAGTAATCACTTGTAGAAAAAAGAACTTTTAAATCTTTCATTTTCTACGAAATAAATGCATCTTAAAACGATGGCAAGGGTTCCGCCATTGCCACGTGTTGAGTGTTGATTGGTCCTTCGAAAACTATGTCATATTTTACCGGTGGTTGGGCCGAGTTGGTGGAGGAGCTAAAGACAGGTTCGATCTCCGTGATGTCATCCTGTCGTGCTCTCTCTCTCTCTCTTCCATGTTTTCCTTTTTGTTTTTTTCTTTTTCTGGAACTTTATTTTTTTCTCATTTTCGTTCATTTTGCCCCTAAATAAAGCCTATCTTCTGTAAAAGTTCTATTTTTTCTTTTTTTCTCCTCCTTTTCTTTTTCTTTGCTATATTTCGTAATCAACAGCCCAACCGCGCGGCCGAGTTCGTATATTTCTTTCTCACTTTAATTTTTACCTTTATTAACGGTCCTTCAAAAAACAATTCAAATCCCACTATAAGTAAATTCTTTACTATGAGTAAACTCTTAAAACAGACTTTCTACAGTATACTTCCAGAAACATATCAAGTAGAAGGAAGAAGGCCTTTCTTCCCTCCCAAGAAACACAATCACTGTACACACCAAATATCTCTTCTCCTCATTTACCCAGTCTTACAACAACAATCACAATGCAAACACCGTCAATTCTCATGCCCCGCGGCAACAAGGACAACGCCCTACTCGATCGATTGCCGCTTCCTTATCGTGATTCCGTGAGCAAGCCATCATGCCACACCACCACCACCAATGGAAGACAAACCGAATCTCTATTTTACTCTCGCACCCCAAATCTCATCGTATATGGATATACATACACTCTGCGTCGACAGCGCAACAAAACATCTCCGGTGGAAAGATGGGACGTGCAGCTGCACGATCATTCCGACTTCTCGTCCGGGTTGAAATTCAAAGACTCCAACCATATAAGCTCCTTGACATCTTCCTCGTTCAAGGATGCATGTTCGAAATCGAAGACAAAAGGAGATGAGCAAGTGGGCTCTTCGTTGATCTCGTGGAGGCTTGAGAGATATGGATGGTTCAGAGCTTCCTCGACTTGACACACGTCACAATATATCAAGACTATATTCCGAAAGCAAGCGAGAAGAATTCATGGAAATGATTCCGTAGGAATTGTACCTGTTATCCGCTTGCTAGGATCGAATACCAGCATTTTCTCTGCAAGGTCGATAGCCAAGGGGGAAACAGTCGGGAACTTCTGGGAAAAGGACCTCTTTGAGACGTGTGGAAGTTGCTTCACGTACTTGCGAGCATTATCGCTCCTCAGAAATCCGAGATCTGAATCATCTGGGGATCCTAAAAGCTGGTTTTGATGATAACTATGAGAAGATGAATTCATGAAAATCACACCAATCAAGGCAAAGCTAAGTCGTCAATGAAGATCCGTTACATGTCTGCATTTTGTCCAATACAGTGCCTCCATTTTTCATCATTTATAGGAGCTAAACTTGCTAGTATATCTTAATAAAGTACAAGGAACTCATATCAAGGGAGATACCTCAGTTATAAGCCCCAACTGTTGAACATAATCTTTGCCAGGAAAAAGTGTCTCCCTTGTAACGATTTCCATGAGGATGCAACCCACAGACCAAACATCAATGGCCGCAGTATACTCTGAGCAGTTAAGCAGCAATTCAGGAGCTCTGTACCATCTGGTTACCACGTATTCAGTCATGAAATCAGTCTCTGATGTTGTTCTTGCAAGGCCAAAATCGCAGATCTTGAGATCACAATTTGCATTAAGAAGCAGGTTGCTTGGTTTCAAATCGCGGTGCAGAACATTTGCAGAGTGCACATACTTAAGTCCCCGCAACAACTGATAGAGGAAATACTGCAAGATCCAATTGAAAATGCCCCCTTTAGCTAACAAATGAACAGAGAGATTTCGGAATGACTTGATTGTAGCCTTATACATGCCACAAATAAACCTAGACAAAGAATTTGCTCTACTGAGTAGCATATGCATCCCTAACTCCTAAAAATCAAGGTAACATCACCGAAAGAGCTCCATGTGTTTTCTCATTTTTCACTCGTCTCCCTTTATCGCTCTCGCCCCCTCTATTTTCTTCCGACTATCCTTTCCTTTTCGTTCACTATCATAGCATATCCTTTTAGATGCTGAAGAGAAGATCAAAACAACTGCTTGCTTTAGGAAATACAACCATGAAAACACCTTAAATAATGCATCCATCCATTAGCAGCAAATCCCCAAATCAGCCCATAGGCAAAACTATCTATAGTTAAGAATGATTACCCGCTCTTCGAGAGAAATATTTGACAGAGAATCACAATAGGTGATCAGGATACATTCAATGGTGTAAACAAACTTCAACAATTATCTATGAATTTCGAACGACAGTTTCCTAGTTGAATAATAACTATCAGGGGTGGAAGTTTTTCTGGGGAAGCTCTTCAAAGTTGATAGGATAATACTGACATTGGACATCTGACTATCAAGTGTGAAGTGAAAGATGTGTGTTACACTAACCCAAGTCAAAAAATTTCTTTTCCGAGTATTCTATTTACAAGCGGACTCTATTTACAAGCGGAATAGGTACTGTCAAAAAGGGACAGACTGGAATCTATCTTGGAAAAAGGAAAACACAGAAGGCACATGCAGATTAATGTGAGAAATTCACCCAATGATTTGGCAAGAGAGTAAAGGATCGAACAGCTAACTAACCTGACAGTGATCATCCGTCAAGGCCTGACTCGACCTGATGATCTGATGCAGATCGGTATCCATTAGCTCGTACACAATATAAACGTCATTGAAATTTTCTTTGTTCGGGGGCCTGATAATGTCCTTGATTTTGACTACCTGCAGAACATCGGAAAGAATCACCTCCATCATGTGTTATATTGAACTGAAACCATACACAGAGAAGTACCCTCTTGCTATTTCTGAGTTTATAGAGTGAACGACGGTTTAAAAATGGAACTTTTATTTCAAGAAGTTTACACAGAACGCCCCTGTCTAAAGAACCACTATGCCCAGTTAAAGTATTTTTGTCACTCGATCTTTATGATTCATGAATGTAGTTCAAACATCATGGCACGTGGAAAGGACTTTGGTCTCTATGAATAACTAGAATATACTTCTGCAGAAACTCGATCCAAAGATGGAAAGAAAGATACTGCGCTCCAACACTGAAAAGGTACACTGACAGGACGCGCCGCACTCGAAACACTGTGCAAAACCTTGTGCAGATAAAAATAGGAAATCTCTGGTACCGAAACCTTTCAGCTAACACTCAATTACTCCAATTCTTTTTTCCGTGATTACATTGTCGTGGTCCATGTGGCAGAGGAGCTTGATCTCCCGGAGCGTCCTCTTCGCATCGATCCTGTTGTCGAAAGCATTCCCGATCTTCTTGATCGCAACTTCTTCCTTCGTCTCCGCATTCGTCGCGCAGCTGCAAAAAGGTCATCCGATCATCCTCCAACACCAACCACACACCAGAATCCAACTCTCCAGATCCAGAAATGCAGCACTCTCTGTACTAGCGAACGCGCACACGAGCTTTCAACTGAAAAATCTCAGCAATCACACAAATCCACACACCAGCAGAAACAGCCATCCACACGGAGACCGCAAGAACTCGCGACTCAGACCCGCTGGCGAGCAATTAAAACCCGATCGAAGCGTCAAAATCAACGCTCGGCATCCAAGCTCGGCGCCCCCGATCCGATTCGCGAGAGAGAAAAAAAATCAGGAGGACTCACCAGACGATGCCGTACGCGCCGCGACCGATGGGCTGAATCGGAGGGACGTACTTGGACGGCACTTGGAACAGGTTCCCGAGGACGCTGTATTGCACGTACCTCCCCCCGCCGCCGCCGCCGCCGCCGCCGCCGCTGCCGTTCGGCTTCGCGGCCACGCCCTCGTTCTCCATCTCAATCTCTCCTTCGAGCAGCGAGCAGAGCACGGCGGCCGGTCGGAGCGAGCCGAGGCTTAGGCTTTTCTCTCTCCGTCGCCTCCCGTCGCGCGGTGGTCGAGGGGTTCTAGAGAGAGAGAGGGAGGATGGAGGGGGACAATGGCGACAGTCAAGACATAAAAAGAGAGAGAGAGAGACAGAGAGAGAGCTTTTCTTTCTTGGCTTTGCGAGTGGGAAGAAAGTTTGAATCTTGGGGAGAAGTTTGAATTGGAACGAAGGGAGGGGGGCGTGGGTGGGGCGCGATTGACCGCGAC